TCTTGGCTAAGTGGTTTGAGTCTGGGCTAAAGTGTCGGTAACATGTCGGTGCAGGGATCTTGAGTTAGAACGCTCCCTGCCTATCTACTTATCCAAACTCTTCAACCCCCTACCCCCTACAATTTTTAAAAAAAATTCATAATTACTTGGTGGTTTTAAGTACTCATTCATAGTTCTAAATACTGTGAAAATATTAGCCCGATCTAACAACTTGCAATTTTGACATTGGTGCACTTGAGAAAATTTGCCCCTTATATATTACATACACATTTTGAGATTCAAAATTGTTTAAAAACAAATTTATAATTGCAAAACTTGATTTTTAAACCTTCCTTGTTTACTAAAAATTAACAAAAACATATTAGTATGCGAAAATTCACGCTTAAAAACGTTTGGTGCACATCTCAGGCGTGTTTACGCGAGATCGATATCTGTGCACCTCGAGACAAAAATTCGATATTTCGGTTAGTTTTAAAGTCTCCAGGGATTTTTTTTGCAAAAAATTCTGGAGAAGATAACGAATCCAAATATTATAGCTACAAAAAATCGAAGGGGTGCTTATGCCCGAAAAAATGAAATCAAAATTTTTTTTGACTTTTTTCCGGGCAAATTTTTGGATTTTTTTTCTTTAATATTGCACTTTAAATTGTTATATAATTAACTATTATTACCTAAAATATGAACAAAATCGAACTAAATGAATATAAGTTATTCGTTTTTCAAAAAAAATGTGCTTTAATATTTAATGCCCGGTAAAATCCACAATTTTGAAAATTTTTAAAAATCTTTTTTTCCTAAAATTTTCTGTCATAAAACACTACCTTTATACCAAGTTTTACAAAAATTGAAAGACCCATGACCAACTTTGATTTTTTTGAGAAAATTTGACTCATAAATTAATATTCGGACAAATTTAAATTCGATCAAATTGACTTTCTGCAAAATTATAATTCAGATAAATAAATATTCTACTAAATTAGAATTCTTTCTAGTTTTCTTGCTCCGAAATTAATATTGGTTAAAATTTTTATTCCGTTTAATTTAAATTCTGACAAACAACTTTTTGTAACAATTAAAATTCAATCATATTTCATTTCTGTGCCATTACTATTCTTACGAATGAAAATTCTACAATATTCATAATCGATTTAATGGAAATTCTGCTAAGCTAATATTTAAACAATTATTTATTCTGCGAAATTGCTATTCTAGAGTATAATATTCTGTGAAATAAAAATTCTAACAAATTCACTTTAGGGCCTTTTCTTCCCATTTCATGATAAGCTCCATTTACTAATTAATAAAATAGTTTTATATATTCTGATGAGGACAGTCATACCGCAGTTAAGAAAAGAGGTAGTGTTCGTTTGTTTATAGACTTTGACTTGGAAGATTGATATAAAAGTTTCTTCTGGAATTAAAATTAATTATAGCAGAGAAATAGGAATGTAAATCAAAATTTCAAATTAATTGTCATTATAATGAGAAAGCATACAATTTATATTAAATAAAACAATTTCCTAGTTTCAAAACCATTAATATAAACCATTAAATTTAAATTTTAAAAGAAAATAGATATGGGCTAATAACAAGAGACATTGAAGGATATAATATTAATAATAAGATAGATAAAGTTGATTTAGTGTATGAAACACTTGTACAAATTGTAATTTAAATTAAAAATATTTGATTGCACAACGAAAGTTTGATTGTAATGATTTGAATTTGTCAATAACAGTATACGTTGTATTTAACTAAAATGTTAATAGATTTTAACTGTAAATATTTTGAAAAATTACTTTTCGTAGTTTATTGGTATTAAAGTGACATTTACTTCAAAATATTTTATATCCTTTGTATAGACGGTTTTAAAAAGCATTGAATGATCTGTTTTTTAACTTTATTCGAATTAGAATTTAAATGATTTTATTTTTAATTTTAAATTTAGAAATTAAAAAAATGCCTTTTTGTGCTTCTTTGATATTGAGTTGCAATAATGGTACATGTCAATAATGTAATTTATATTTATAAAATAAAAATTTTCATGAAGAAGCGAAGTGTTCATGAGAAAATAAAATAGTTGAGTTTTAAATTTGCGGTGGTTTTTAAAATTCTATTTTTAAAAATAATCATTTTTTTATATTAAATGTGACATTATTTTAAAAATGTTGTATGGGCTCTTTAACATCAGAATAATGTCATTTAAAAGTAATAGGATAGAAAAAAGTCATCCAACAAATAGAAACATTGTTGTTCATCTACATTGAAGTCCAAATTATTGGAAACATTTGTGTTAATCCTAATGCCCGTTTAAGTAGAATAAAATATTTTTTTTACTATTTACTGTTGGATTTTCGATTATTTTTACGCTTTTCGTTCGGCTTGCGATAAATGCTACTCGTCATTAGCGAAATTGTACACTTGCGTGATAGGCAAGGTCTCTTCAATAACAGAATGGAAAAGCAGGTGTGGAAAGATTAAAAAATAAACAAATACCATTCACCTTCTCTCTTTCATTCAAGGATTTACGTGCGATTACAATTTACTTATCGACTGCTTTCAAAAGTTAATTTTCTAATGTTCGTCATTATTTATTTTGTTAACTATCATATATTTTTACATTAATGTATTTGTCTTATAAATATTATTTTTTTTAGGTTTTTTGTACAAGTTTTACAATAAATTTTTCTGTTTTGTTAATAAATAATAATATACTAATCGATTTTGATTACATTTTTTGGTTAAATAAGAACAATATTTATTAAAGACATTTTATTTTTTCTTATCAAGATGTAACAATTCTTCCTCTAATTATACAAAATTTTTTTAGTTCAAGGCATATTTAAAGACAGAGAATGCGAAAGACGTTCAATATTTATGACAATAACGATAAAACAGAATTCAAGAACCTCGGAAAATTATTTTGACTTTAAATGCTATTGCTTCTACAAGAAAAAGATTCATTGCTGTTCAAAATGTCTTTTAAAGTAGTAAATAAAAATTCTTGTGTATAAAAATAGACAATCTTTGCCGGCATGGCTATTTGAAACTACCCTTACTTTTGATTTGATTGACACGATATATTTAGAATTTTAAATTTACAGTTCAAAAATGTTAACAGCTCACAAATTTTGACGAAAGGTTCTTGTTTTAAAATTGTCAGGGCTATAAATTCATAAGAGCTTTAAGAAAGTATTTTTTTGAATATTTGTTTTTAATTATTTTATTAGAAGAATATTTTATTCCGTTTTCCTACATATTTCTAAACTTTCTAGCAAATATAATATATTCTATAAAATTTCTACATATATTTACTACAAGAATATGCAAATTTTAGAAAATTTATTTTTTAAGGAAAATAATTTTTTTAATGATTTTCTATACTAGTACAATTAATTTCTAACAATTATTTACAAAAATTTTTTGTATTGGAATTTTTTTAACTTGGAATTCATAAGTGTAAATTGAGTTTCGCAAAAAAAGGTCCTAATAGCAGATCCTTTGAATGTTGTGCTATTTAAGGTTAGTTTAAAAGATTTACATCCAAAAACGAATTTGTTCTTTAAAATGCAAGTAGTTTTATAATACTGAAGTTGGCTGTCTTATCAGTTTGTTGCATGAAACTACCTGAATTTTAACCTTTAAAGAGATTAAAGTCACCGAAAATTCTGAAAGACTCAACAGACTCAACAGTAGTAGTATCTTTCATTTTACATTATAATATTCAAAAACCAGCACATAGTATAAAAGTATATTGAGAGTACTCATTGTTAAGTAGTAATAAATTTTCAAATATGTACAAACTTTTTTGAAAAATAAAATTATTAAAATGTGATTGCTTAAGACATTTCATAAGCAAGTAATATATATATATATATATATATATATATATATATATATATATATATATATATATATATCTATTTGTACTATTTATATTTATATTACACTATCTAAATTATTTCCATAATTTTTAATTAAGCCTTTTTCCGATCTACTTGCAACTTTAAAAATTAAAATTCCAAGTTAAATACAAAAAATGTTTGTGACCCTTGATATAGCTCGGGCGGCGAAATACAGTGACTTGCGTTTAGTGCAATTAGTAGTCAGGTGGATGACTGTTGTAGGACGCTACAGCCGAGCCCCTGATGTTTTTTTTACTGCGATCGAGATATATCAACCGGGAGGTTTGACGTTGAGGCAAACATGAGTACTCCTAACTCAAATCAGCTTGTGACCGCTAAAGTTAAAGAGTGCAAAGTGTCATAAGTTGGTAAAGTTGAATTAAGACGTATGAAGAATGTAAAAATCTAAATGCATACAATAAAATCTTACATTAACTTTAACTTAACAAATAATATTTCAAACTAATTGTTAAAAAGGAATTGTAAGGATATTGAAAATCATTAACATAAAATATTAGATTTCTTCAATAATATTAATATTATAAAATAGCGTAAAACCAATGTTGTCCTATATATTCTCCGAAATTTGTGTCTTCTTTTTTAAGTAGAATAGACAATTCTTTTAATACATTCAAAATTTTAATTTTTTGAAAATGAAAAACATTTTCAATTTTTTCTTATAATGTAATAAATAAGAATAAATTTTATTATATATTTTTTTATTCAATATACAATTATTTACAAATAAAAAATAGTAGAAACAAGTATTTCAATTTTGGTCTTATTTAATGTTTTTAATTATTAGAAAAGTACTTTGTCTAACATAAATAAGGACTCTATCAAGAGTCTAATAGAAAAAATGTAATTCTTTTCATTAAAACAAATAATTATTATATAAAGTAAAGTAATATATTTTGTAGTCTTTTTATCAGTAGCGCACGTAAGCAAAACCTTTAACACATGAAACATCTAACCTTCATTTTTACTACATGGAATCTACTAAGGATAATTCAGTGTTTCGTCATAAACCTTCTTTTTTCTATTCATTATAATATCCCACAAACTCTTAATTGTTTAACTTTTTTTCATTAAAAGGTGAGAAAGTTGTGATTATTTTAAAACAGTTCACAGAGATAGATAACAAAATCCACTGTCATATCAGAAATAAAGAGGGGATTGTCAACGAAGAGGAATAAATACAAGCTTCAAATTAACTGGCATTCAGTCGCATGTCTAGTATTGTAAACGTTTGTACATATAAACACCGTAATTCTGAGACTTCAATCATAGTAATAATATCTTAAAAACTACAACACAAACGTCATGACAGAAAAAACATTGCCCTTTTTAATTACATGGATTTTTATTAAACTTCAGCCATCAAGTACTTGTCATAGGTTTGCATTAAAGTATTAAATGCAATTCAGAAGATACCAATAAGCTTGTCCTTTTATTAATTATCTTTCAAAATATTTCCTTTTTATTTAGTATTAGGCAAAGTATAACGGAGAGCAGTGTTCAAAGTAATTTCGATGTTTATTGGAATGTGCCAACGTTTATGTGTCATAAGTATGGTATATTTTTCGAAGAAGTGTCAAAAGACTTTAACATCAAACAAAATAATAAAGATCAATTTCGAGGTGATAAATTTTTTATTCTCTACGATCCTGGATATTTTCCGGCTTTACTAAAGGATGAAAATGGTATAGAAAAACAAAAATTTTAGAAAAACAATAAATTCAATTTTACTTGTGTTGATTTTTAAGAATTATATTTGATAATGAATGAAAATTAGGTTTACATGGTTTTTCTCTCAAAGGTGAAATCTGGAGAAGGAATGGAGGAGTTCCCCAAGAGGGTAATATAACCCTTCATCTTGAATTATTTAAAAATCATGTGGAAGATCAAGTGCCTAATAAATCATTTCAAGGTATAGCTGTGATTGATTTTGAAAGCTGGAGACCAATTTTTCGACAAAACTGGGCATCACTAAATCAATATCGTGAAATTTCAATTAATATTGAACGCATAAGGCATCCATTCTGGAGTAACAAATCCATTAAGAAGGAAGCAATAAAGAACTTTGAATTTCACGGGAAAGAATTTATGCTACAAACTTTAAAACTTGCTAAAACTTTACGGCCCCTTGCCAAATGGGGCTACTATGCTTACCCTTATTGTTTTAATAATAATGATCCCAATTTAAATTGTGATCCATTGGTTCATGCTGAAAATGATAGGTAATACATAACATTTTACATTAATTATTTACCTAATAGTTTTAATATTAATCTATCAATTTTAATTGTAATTCATTGCTTCTTGCTGAGAATAACAGGGAATATTCATAATACATAATATTCAAAAACTTCTAGAAACATAATTATGTAAGAAATGGTAGATTTGTAAAAGATTTTATTACTAGAATTTTTACCAGGAAAATTTAGTATTACATCTCTAATATAAATCGAAATTTCGATTAAAAGTATGTACAAGTTGAGGAAATGGAAGAACTGAAAATTCAAAAAAACCGTGCAACATTTTAAGACATTGTATACGGATAAGAAATTAAAATTCTCATCTTACTTTGTAAAAATGTTAAATTTCTTATATTAATGTACTTATAAATGAAAGTACAAAAACATTGCAATATTGACGTGAGTAATTAAAAAGGCTTTTCGGGCGTATTTCTCATTGAAAATTTATTTTAAAAAATAAACATAGTAAATAGTTTTTAAAAAACTTAGAAATAGTCTCGGCAAGCCCCTTGCAAAAATGCCTGTTTTTCATACTTCAAATTTTAAGACATTTTTATGCCAAATGGTCACTTATGATGACCTAATAATCTCTGCAAAAATTCAAAGTGCGTATATGCCCCGTTTAAGAAATATAGGAGGTCATAGTTGACCATGTTAAATATAAAATATAGCGATTTTACAGTCATACTCAAATAATAATAATAATAATGTTTAAAAAAATTCGAAATGGTTCCTTTAAGACTTTTGCTGCTGATTAAGAATCTAAAGTCAAACTATAGAAATTAAATATGGTGTATCCTGTATGTAGGATATAATATGATATTTGAGTTTAAAAAAATCCATCGGATTCACTTAAAATTTGTTACTGGGGGGTTTTTTGGAGTCGCTAATTACAAATTTGATGTCAGATTTTAAAAATTCAAAATGTCAGACCCAATATGGCGGACGAGTTTTGTAAAAATTCATCAGATGCACTTGATACTCGTTACTCATCAGATTCTGGGGTCGCTAATTAGAAATTTGATGTCAGATTTTAGAAATTCAAAATAGCGGACCCAATATGGAGGAATATTTTTCAAAATCATACCATTCTTTTGTTACAATTTGCTGTGATGTTTTTAAAGACGTTAGATACAAATATGAAACCTTGCCTTTATAGGTTTAAATATTACATTTTGCCTTTATTGGTTGAATCATTACAGCTTGCCTTCATTGATTAGATCATTACATCTCGTCTTTAATGCATGGATTAAACATTTTACCTTTGTTGGCTGGATTATTGTATCTTGCCTTCATTGTTGCATTACTGGGTTACAAAAAAATGGTCATATCGTGTTTATTCAAAGTTTCCTGTATTTATTTAAAGTTTAGGTGTCACTGAATAAGAATATACCAGAAAAACATTTTTTCATTCGGTCATTCCCTTAAAAAACGAGTTTAAAGTGTCAAAAAACCGTATTTTTAGCACTTTTTGAGGCAGCGTAACAAGAAAACGCAACATGATAAAAATCTCTACAAGAGCTTAAATAAAATCTTAAACCTTTAACTTTAAGGCTCAGAACTGAAAAGTACTTAAATAATCAATGAAAACCTCCTTAATCAAGCAGTCGCTACATAAAATTGTCAAAAAAAGCTAGAACAGGAAGCAATTGGTAAAAATCGATTTCCCTAACCGGATTCGGTTGCAACTTGTTACTTGAGGTTTTTTGAGGTTTCTAATGACGAATTGGAACTTAGATTTAAAAATTTCAAAATGGCAGACTGAAAATAATGAGTTCACTTAATTTTTCAAAATTTGCGTTGATAATTTTAAAAAATTGAGTCTGCCATTTTGAAATTTTTAAATCTAAGTTCCAATTCGTCATTAAAAACCTCAAGTAACAATTTGCAACCGAATCCGGTTAGATGAATCGATTTTTACCAAGTGCTACCTAACCCAGCTTTTTTGATAATTTCAAATAGCGACTGCAGGTTTTCAGTGCTTATTTAAGTACTTTTCAGTTCTGAGCCTTAAAGTTGAAGGTTTAAGCTTTTATTTAAGCTTTTGTAGAGATTTTTATCATGTTGCGTTTTCTTGTTACGCTGCCTCAAAAAGTGCTAAAAATACGGTTTTTTGAGACTTTAAACTCGTTTTTTAAGGGAATGACCGAATGAAAAAAAGTTTTTCTGGTATATTCTTATTCAGTGACACCTAAACTTTCAATAAACACAGTAAATTTTAAATAAACACGACATGACCATTTTTTGTAACCCAGTGTTATTACATCTTGCCTTTATTTCATGGCTTAAACATCTTATCTTTGTTGGTTGGATTATTGCATCTTGCCTTCATTGGTTGCATTATTACATCTTGTCTTTATTGGTTGGATTAAACATCTTACCTTCGTTGCTTGGATTATTATATCTTGTACTCATTGGTTGCATTATTACATATTGTCTTTACAAGTTTAATATGTTATTACATTTACCAATTAATTATTTTGTATTTCAAAAATCTAACATCAAATTCGTAACAAGCGACCCCAAAAACTCCAGAGTAACAAACTTCAAGTAAATCGGATGAGTTTTTACAAAAGTCGTCCGCCATATTGCGTCCGCCATTTTGAATTTTTAAAAAACATCGGATTCGTAATCAGCCACCTCGAAAACCCCCGGCTAATAAAATCCTTAAATATAAACTTTTTAAAAAAATAATTGTGCTTAATATTTTTGGTAAACCAGTAAAAGTATGTATATAATAAACATTACAGAAATATTGTCATAATATTTCTATCAAATATTGATTTAATGTTCCCAGGTAATAATGCATCAAAGTAGACATAATCAATAATGCTGCAATATTATCTTGATATTGAAAAGTAATGTTCGCAATATTACGACATAATACTGATGTAATGTTATTGTTATAATTGTGTACTAAATTTTTTATAAGGTACTAGATTTTTGGATTCCCCATTTGAAAAAGTGATTCCTTAGCCATAAAAAATATATATTGCTAAATTTTTTAATGAAATTGCGTTTTAACGTTTAAAAAAATTGTCAAACGCCAAGTATTGTGCATTTGATCCTCAAAGATTGAAGCGTTTTTCTGAAACTTGTTTTTGAAGTCCGTGTAATTCATAACTCCAAATCTACTGTACCAATCAGTCTAAAATTTAGTATAGCACTTCTTTACATAATTCCTCACGTATCCCTGGGAGCTTTTTTAAAAAAGAAAAAATTAGTAATTTTGCAATAAAAAATGTACTGCGTACACAACAGTAACTTTTTTGGAGGTGACAGAGTGATTCTCCGCGTAGCGCACAATTTAATGTCTCTCATGTGTTTTGAGAAATCAGTTTTATATATTATAATAAATTCAACGTGGATAACTTATTTCCATGATAACAAATAAAAGTCTATAGTCGTTTTCATTTAAAAGTTTATAATTTTACTTAAAAATCTGTTTTAAGGTGCCTAAACGTCGTGGTCTAATCAGTCCCCACTACCATTTCATATATAAAATGTTATTTCTTAGTAAAATATAATAATAAATATAATGAATATTGACATTTTCTTATTGTCTAAGTTAGTAGAATTGAGAAAAACAAAACACTTGTGGAAAAAAAATTATTTTTTAATATTTTTGTAGATATTTCTTGTCCCCTGTTTTCGCGTCATGGTATAATCACTTTGTAAAATTGCATAATTTACATAAAGAATCAAATCGAAAAATTACTTAACATTAATAAAAAGCATTAATAAACTCTCCTAAGTAAATTACTAAAAAAGAAATTAATCGTCATGGTCTAATCATCACATATTTGCAATAAAATGAATAATTATTTATATTTTACCTCAAAACAAGTTTAGTAGTATAAAGTAAGTGAAAACAAAATACGTGGAAAAAAAGAATTTTTGAAATTGATAATAATTTGCTTAAAAAATTAGTTTTTCGTATACGTCATGGTATAATCACAGCGTCATGGTCTAATCACTTTTTCATAATAAGGCTTTTCTGTATTAAACTGTGTCACTGAAGCACTCATAAGTATAACGAAGATTTTAAGTTCAGGTAAATAATGAGTAATAAAATTAATTTCTATAAATTACAGCATAAATTTCTATAAAATACCGCATAAATTTCTATAAATTACCGCATAAATTTCCATATATTTCCAAAATGTTTTTTCTTAATTACTAATTTTGCAACAATTTACTGTTCATTGCCGCACAATTTTCTATAAATTTCCATAAATTACCAAATTCCAAATTTTTAATAATAATTTAAACTTTACATATTTTATGAATTATCGCGATAATTTTTATAAATTTCCATAAATTACCGAAATAATAATTTTTAAATGAGATTCACGCTATACTATTGTTTAAATTACCGCAAAAATTTTTTTTTTAATTTCATAAATCAAATCGTGCGCTACGCGGAGAATCACCCATAAAAGTTATACATTCATTTGCTCAATTCTCAATATTTTTTTATGAAAATTATTTCGATTTAATAAGGTTAGCTTTGATTCTCCATTATTCATTTAAAAAATAAGTATTTTTTTCATTTTTCTAAATAGCTTCTATATTTTAAACGTACACTGTCAAGTTAAGGAAGGTTCTGTTTATAGAGATATTACGTGCTATAATATTGTGATGTTTTATAAGCAATTTTGCTTGGTTTGTTTACACGAAAAAAAAGATAATTTCGTTTATCCTGAGGAGTGTAAAACTTAAAAAACCTGACACTCTTCTGTTTAGAACTTAACTTGAGAAATATCAAGTTTACATTCCTCAGGGTAAGTTTAATTTTCCTTTTTTCTCCGTGTATATTTCTACAACTTGGACCTACCCTTGAATTTTTGTAAGATTAATTCTATTAATTTGTAAGTTTTTAAAAATTGTCAATAATAGTATGTAACTTTAAAATCTTCTCTTATCTGTCATTCAGTAAATTTTTTAAAAATCTGATTAGTTTTAATTAATTTCATCTAGATGCAGAAAAGTCTGAATTGTAAACCTGTATAAAACTAATTTCAGATTGAACTCGATTTTTTCGGAACAACATGTTTTATTTCCATCTGTATATTTGAGAAAAAGTTTTGAAGAAAACAAAAGAATTGGTATAATAAGGGCAAGAATAAGAGAAGCAATTCGAATTTCAAAAAAAATGACTCATTATAAAAATATTTTTCCATACTTCTGGTACAAGTACCAAGATGATTCCAATATATTTATAAACAAAGTTAGTTATTGATTTCTGAAATATAATAATTATAATATAACTAGATTTCGACAAAAATTTCATTAGTATAAATATCTTTTTATTTACGACAAAATCAATATTTACTATGAGGTTATTTTCATGTTACGTGATATATATAATGCATGTAACGTAGACACCCAGCAAACACGTTCTATAAGTATTCCATGACAATGAGATCACAGTGTTATAGAACTACTGTTTCAAACTAGTTATAGATTTGTTACGTAATCTCATGGTGACAGAGTTCTAGAACATATTTACAATTTAGTGCTTATGTCACAGTTATATAACTCTAATGTTACAAATGTTCTTTAACTGTTGTGCCAACCTAGTTCTAGAGCTGTGTTACAACATTGTTATGCAGCTGCTCTAAAATTCTGTTGCAGTTCAGATGTGAAAGATATTTCTAATTATAATTAACAATATTTTTGTAACAATATTACGTAGCGTTTCTATAAAACTAAAGTCACAAATGATTTATAACTTTCGTTCCAACCTAGTTCTAGAAATGTACCTTAATAATATTATATCTATAGCTCTTCTAATATTCTATATTTTGATATAATTAATGATTTCGTAGTTAATATTTCTATTCAAAACATGAAAATAAATTTCAAGAAATACTTATAAAATAATTATTTACAAACTGCATGAAGCTGTAACTAGCACTTAGTCATCAGTAACCACTTAATTTTGATAATTAAATTTAAAAGTTTAGTATATTAAGCAACAAGAGGAGAAAGGCAGCCATTTCTTTACGGTGATTTTTGTGACACGAGTGGAGGTCGAGGGCGCCGTAGGCGCCCCGAGACCGGAACGAGTGTCACAAAAATCATTGTAAAGAAATTGGCTGCCTTTATTCTCGTGTTACTTACGATATTTTTTATTCCTAATGCACAAAAGCGGCGATTTCAGATAGCAGACGACAGGGAGTAAAAGTCATTCACTTGTTCGATTTGTATGAAAATGGCGGCCGATTTCTCCCTTGGGCAAGAAAAATGCATGTGAACAGCTAATTTTCTTGCCCTTGGGAGAACACGGCCGCCATTTTCATACGGTCGAAGAAATGAATGACTTTCCTCCCTGTCGGCTGCTATCAGAAAGCGCCGTTTTTGTGCATGTGGGATAAAAAAATATTTTTTAAGAAGCTGTAACTAGCACCCAGTTATCAGCACATACTTAATTTTTCAAAATTTGACGTTAGTATTCAACAAAAAAAATATTTAACTTTAAAAATAAAGTTCCTGTTGATAACTGGGTGTCGGTTTTAGATTTATACAAACTGCATTCTTTATTACTTATGTATACTTATTTATAATGAGTATAACTTTTTAAATCCAGTTGTATTACTTATATAATTAATTCATAAAAAAAATTTTAAAGTACAATCCTTACAACACATTCAAACTTTTGGAACATTTTACTCTACTTCACATTCAAGGAACTGTAATACATATTCATTCAAAAACAATTTTTTGGCACAAATACAGATTTTTTATCTTTTACTGTAATACATTTACGTATCAGAAATACACCCTGATGTTTTAATGCTGCACTGTAAAAAACTTCTGAATTTTATCTGATAATATAAACGGGAATTTTCCGAAATTAGGGGGAAATCAGTTTTTCTGAATATTTAAAATGAAATATTTCCGAAAGTAGGTGAAAAAATACTAATCGCATAAAAACCGGAAGTTATTCCTTTATTTTAGGCAAAGTATCCGAAGGTCGCGGATTTTTAACGAGTATTATTATGACAATTTCCAAAGTTAAATGAAAAAATAATTTTTCCGACAATAGTCGGAAATTATTCCATAATTTTTTGTGAAGTTTTCAAAGGTAGTGGATTTTTTACCAGTATTATTATAAAATATTTCTGAAGCGAAGTAAAAGAACAGTTTTTCCAATACCTACTTAATTGGAAGTATTTCAGAAGTTAAGAGGAAATACAGATTTTCCGAAAATTTAGAAGGAAATATTTCTTCTTTCCTAATCTGAATTAGATGTCTAAGAAGTTGGCAACGCCATTTCATTTTTACTCAAAAATAAAAATTGTGCCGCAAAGAAATTTTTAAAAAAAGATTTTTTTAAATTTTTCAAAATTAAACAGTAACAATAACAATTTTTCAAAAAGATAATAATTAGTCAACAAAATCACGTTTTTTGACTAATATTTTTTGGTCATTTTTCAAAAATTAAAATATTGAAAAACTAAAAGTTGTGCTTAATTGTGTTTGGGGAGCACAATCAAAAACTCTAATAACAATTTTTCAAAAACATAATAATTTGCCAAGAAAATCACGTTTTTTGACTCCAATATTTTTTTAGGCATTTTTCAAAAATTAAAATATTGAAAAATTAAAAGTTGTGCTGAATTGTGCTCGAGGAGCACAATCAAAATCTGTAAATACAATTTTTCAAAAAGATAATAATTTGTCAAGAAAATCTCGTTTTTTTACTCTAATATTTTTTCGGACATTTTTCAAAAATTAAAATATTGAAAAAGTAAAAATTGTGCTGAATTGTGCTCTAAGAGCACAATAAAAAACTCTGATAACAATTTTTCAAAAAGATAATAATTTGTCAAGAAAATCACGCTTTTTGACTGTAATATTTTTTAGGGCATTTTTAAAAATTAAAATATTGAAAAATTAAAAGTTGTTCTGAATTGTGCTCGAGGAGCACAATTAAAATCTGTAACTACAATTTTTCAAAAAGATAATAATTTGTCAAGAAAATCACGTTTTTTGACTCTAATATTTTTTCGGACATTTTTCAAAAATTAAAATATTGAAATAGTAAAAATTGTGCTGAATTGTGCTCTGAGAGCACAATAAAAAACTCTGATAACAATTTTTCAAAAAGATAATAATTTGTCAAGAAAATCACGCTTTTTGACTGTAATATTTTTAAGGGCATTTTTCAAAAATTAAAATATTGAAAAATTAAAAGTTGTGCTGAATTGTGCTCGAGGAGCACAATCAAAATCTGTAATTACAATTTTTCAAAAAGATAATAATTTGTCAAGAAAATCACGTTTTTTTACTCTAATATTTTTTGGGCATTTTTCAAAAATTAAAATATTATAAAATTAAAAGTTGTGAAAATTTGTGCTCTAGGAGTACAATCAAAAACTCTGATAACAATTTTTCAAAAAGATAATAATTTGTCAAGAAAATCACGTTTTTTGACTCTAATATTTTTTTGGGCATTTTTCAAAAATTAAAATATTGAAAAATTAAAAGTTGTGCTTAATTGTGCTTGGGGAGCCCAACCAAAAACTCTTATAACAATTTTTTAAAAATTTAATAATTAGACAAGGAAATCACATTTTTTGACTAAAAGTTTTTTGAACGTTTTTCATAAATCAAAATTTTGAAAATGTAATATGTGTGTCTAATAAAACTGTCTGATACTTTTTTTAGGAAATTAATACTTATAAAGGAATATTATATATGCTACACTTGTGTACCTAATTTTTATGCATTTTATATTATCTAAGTTTTGATAGTTATGTACAATTAAAAAGTAAAATTTGTATGTATGCTAAATTTTTATTATTTAACTTCAACGTTTTTTCTTCACATTTTACCAGGCTTAAGACTGGCAGCAATCTTTTAAATATATATTTGCTCTTGTGTTTAAAAAATTTGTCATTCTGAAATATAAGTACAGTGCGAACCTTGTTCTAAATGCAATTTTGAAACAAATTCCCGGTAATCGTAAGCATCGTGTTATAATTTTTAAAGTTTTTTCCTATTTACTGGTCCTTCTGTTTAACGCAGTTGAAGAAATGTTGATCCACTATGTCCGTTGCGTTTAATCGTTGAGGTATTTTTAAGGATGTCAAATCATCGAACTTCAGCCAATGTTGTCCTACGTAAACATACGCTACGTAATGTCCTGGTACTTCTGGATTATGGGTTCCTTGGTTTAACACAAATCCTCCAATAGTGTAATGCACCCCCTTAGTTGCAATTTTGTGGGGATATCACAGATTTTTACTTTGTTTTCTTGCCCAATTTCCACTAAGATTAGAAGATGTGCTCCGTAAGTTATTGTCAATTGAAGCGTTTCCAAAAAATAAAGTTTTTTCCTTTTAATGGGTGATTTAAGAGCATTTATTAAATTTGATACACCCAACGACTGGATGCTTTGCAAATTGATATGTGCTAAAACAAACGATTTAGTTGAACATTTTGCACATGACGAACATTTGTATTCGACGTTATAGCTTGGTGAAATGTCAAGAAGATAAATCCCAAGGTCCGTGACATTGCAAAGGGCGTTTATTTGTACTGATGTATGAAATCTGCTTCACGAAGAATGTTCGCCTATTCTTTGTAAATTCCTGCACATAAATTCTCGTCGATAAGAAGTTTTACAAATTAAAATAGTGCTCCTTCATTGTGATTTATTTCTTCTTTGTAAAAAGAGTTGTTTAAAATTGTCATGCCAAGAATTTGTACAAAACTGTCAAATGCACAAGTATTAGAGATCACAGTAACAGAATTTATTTCTCTAATATTCTTACATTTATTTGCATTTGGTAAAATCGGAAAACTTGTTAATTTTTCACAAGAAGGTTCAAATTGTGGGCAAACTTCACCATATTGAGCACCGTTTCTTTTTTTTCTTGCCTTTGATTTTTGAGAAATTTTAAAAGCAGTGACTTCTTTTAACGAATGATCAGAATCTTCGATCTCGATTATAATATCATTTACATCTTCCGAAGGTTGATTTGTGTCCTCAAATGATTTTTCAGTTACTGAAGAATTGGTTTCAAGTTTCGTGAAAGGATTTTTTGTGTTTTTATTTTGCCAATTGTGTTCGTAGTTTAGTTGATTCTCTTCTTCAGGAAAATCTTTAATAAAATCATCACTTAATTTTATCTTTTTAGTTTGATGCTTTTGAGATATTAAATTGCTTCGATCTGTCCATCTGCTGTCACGGTTAAAGATCCTGTTGCAGCTTCCTTC